ACATAAAAACAACTTTAAACTTCTTTTTGTCCTTTGGGACCCTTAATAATGGAAAACCTTTTTCATAAAAAGAGTGTTGTTAAGCTTTAGTTCTACCGCAAACAGGCATCGTCCCTAACTGCTAGAACGAAGGTTTAACACTACTCGGGTAAAAAAAACACTTAATATACCTGTGGTTTCGTGTCAGCCCAGACTATGTTTGCTCTGATTTCTCATACCAGATGAGAATACGTAGGCACAAGACGCGATGTCTTGGTGAGCAATGTAACACCCCCTTTCTATACCCCCAAGTAAACAAATAAATCATTTAACACGTATTAAAATTTCATTAGAGTATAAATAAAACATCGTATAAAAGAGGTATGTCACATCATCATGAAATTAACATACCACACCTGCTCGATAAAAGACATGCAACAGTGGGGTAGTTACAACAGAGGAACTTAGTCCCTACACCCACATTTCAATATTTAGAATTAAAAGCGGAAATCTAAACATTGAATCACTTTAAACATGCTAATCATATAAATAAATATCATTCAGTTTGATTCACCACATCATTCATGTTTACATAAACATTTGTCATCAGATACATATACAAATGTATCACAAAAGAATGCTATACAAGCCTAACTACCCGGTGCTACATATCAGAGCTTAACTGACCAAACGAATGAAGTTATACTTCACAAAAGATCCATCAAAGCTAATCTGCAATGCCTCATAGAGCATTATAAAACAACAGAAGAGTGAGAAATATTATCATAATAATCAATGCATATAATTATATATATATATATATATATATATATATATATGCATGTGTGTGTGTGTGTGTGTGTGTGTGTGTGTGTGTGTGTGTGTGTGTGTGTGTGTGTGTGTGTGTGTGTGTGTGTGTGTGTCTATATATATATATATATATATATATATATATATATATATATATATATATATATATATATATATATATATATATATATATATATATATATATATATATATATATATATATATAGACACACACACACACACACACACACATATATATATATATATACATCATAATATATGTATAAATATATAAACAAATATGGAATGGTCACCAAGCATATTTATCATGGACACATCCATAATTCTCATCCATTCACATAACATACACATATGCATACATTTACACAACATTTATCTCTATGCCATGTGACTCAATACAACTCATGCCATGTGGTACCAACACTTGTTATCATTTTTCGGTTTTTACATTTAAACCGAGTCCGTCCTCTAGACCGATAACAACAAAAGTCCGTCCTTTAAGCTTTCAAACCCACTCTTCTAGGTTTAGGACAAGTCACTAGTCTCCACGAAACTAGCAAGCATTGCCTCTTGACTAAATGATGCATATGCAATCAACAACCAAATTCACTTAAGACCGTTCTCGCATCTTAATCTCATGCATTCCCAATAATTCATCACATAAGAATTATAACATGATTGCACACACAACATATTTCACATAATCAAAGTATTCATACTTTAAACCATCATCACCATATTTGTCAAGCAAAGCACACATATTCACAATATGTTCTCATGCATTTTCCACATACAATTACAAGTAATGCACACATATTTACAATATATTCTCATGCATTATTAATAACATCGTGCCAACGGCAACAAACTCAATCACAATCATCATGCACTTTTAATCAATTTAAACAATGCTTATATTCGTCAAAAAACCACATTTCATAATCGATTCCACAATCTAGGATTCACGCCATACGGCTACCCATAATATATCACACCATACACTACAAGAAAATTGGCAAATTGCGATAGTTAATTTTGATAGGTTACGACGGTTATAACCGTCACAATTTGTAAGTTACGACTGTTTCAATCCCGTCGCGAAAACGTGGATCGCGAGGCCTTATTGCGACGGTTGTGAAAACTGTCGTTATTTTCACGACGGGTAGCTAACTGTCATAATCTCCATATTGTGACGGTTTCCAACCGTCTTAACTTGCTTAATGATTTTTGTTTTCATTGTTGATTGCGAAAGTATATTGTGGTGGTTTGAACCGCCGCAAATTGCAAATATATATTTTTTAAATCTATGGTATTGTGACTGTTTGAACCGCCGCAATTGCAAATATTTTTAAAAAATCTTTATTATATTGTGGCGGTTTGAACCGCCGCAAGTTGCAAACAATTTTAAAAAAAAATTTGCCCTTTATTTATACCTCGCTGGCCCTATCGTGGTTAAAACCAAGATGTTAATCACTAACCAGTGTGACAAACTATCAAACACTTGAAAAGCAGAAAAACTCTTAATTTGCACAATTAATACTACAGTACAAATACAATAGTTGTTGACGCATCGATAGCAACAAAAAATTTGAACATGAAATTAAAAAAGTTACATTGTTTTACTCTGCTAAACACAACAAAATCAGCACAAATATCATCATCAAGATTCAAGCCAAACACTACCACCACACCAGCCAATTCTTGTACTTTTATGAACATAAAACATAAATAATCCATTACAGACAAAAAGCGAGGTAGTGAAGAAAGTCTGGCAATTGGCTGCATAATTCATTTGCACACACCGAATACATCAGTTAGATAAATAGAACTTGCAATGCAACATGGTGAAGCCACAGAGGCATATACCTAGAGTCGATGACTTCCTGTAATTTATATAGAGACTTAGATTCAAGAATCTGAAAATTAGGGAAATAAATGTAAGAATCAGCAGCGTTGTAGGAAACAAGCATGTTTAAGATTACTAGTTGTTAGTTATATCCTTCACCTGTATCTTTGCAGTAGTCTATAGGCAGCTATTCTCCTTTGATAAAATGAGTAAAAAATTTCTTCGCATGGTTTAATTCTCTTAATCAAGTAACAAAAATTGTAAGAAAATTATAAAACAAAAATAATATATATAGAACTTAGGGTTGATGCTTACAGGCCACACAGAATTACAGTAATCATAGTAGTTATACTTTCCCCACCATGAGGTTTTCCATGTATAACCAAGACCCTACCACCAACTGATAGTTAAAACACATGAACATATTGCAAGCACATATGTAAATCAAAGGCAAGGATCTTTGACAAGACTTCTTACTATACCATATCTAAGAAATGCTTGCACTGACATTGCATATGAATATTTATAGCCGATGTTAGATTTGTAAATGCTGACAAGATCCATATGTAGATATAGTTCAATAACCTAAAGATAATATATTTGACTGAACCTTCAAAACTTATGTTCATCAAATATTTCAATAGCAGAACAATTATATTCTTGATAACAAGGTTCCCAAGTTCATATAAAAGCAAAGATGCATGTTAAACAAAAAACACCGAAACAACATACTAGTGAATACCTTTAACCTATGAAACACTTCACTGAAATCACCATCAAACAAGTTTATCTGCAATCAAACAATGTCACTCATCATATGATATTCTCCCCCATTTAGTCATTTTTTTAAAAATGAAATTACAACTAAGGTACCACAGTGAAAAATAGGTCACACAGATGGAAGTACCAATAAAAAACAAGGACGATTTAATAAAATGAATAACTAAAGTAAATGGATTGAAAATTTTATGCTAATCTATTGAATGGTTAAAGCAGGTTTACATTGCGATTAAACTCTTGAATCTACAAAAATACAAAATTGTGAAAGATGGGAGCAAATTTACCTCAAAAAGAAGGATTCAGAACTATTACTACTGCTTATTACCGTGGAGCCATGGGTATCTTGCTGGTTTATGATGTTACTGATGAAGCATCTTTCAATAATATTAGGAATTGGATTTGCAATATTGAACAACCTGCTTCTGACAATGTAAACAAGATACTTGTGGGAAACAAGGCGGATGTACCTACCTCCGCAGGTCAAGCTCTTGCTGATGAATATGGTATCAAGTTCTTTGAAACTAGTGCAAAAGCAAACATGAATGTGGAGGAAGTTTTCTTTTTAATAGAAAGAGACATCAAGCAAAGGCTTGCAGACACAAATTCTAGATCCGAGCCTTAAGCTATCAAGATTAACCAACAAGATCCGGCAGCGAATGGTGGTCAAGCTGCAACAAAATTGTGAAAGATGGGAGCAATTTACCTCAAAAAGAAGGAATCAAAACTATTACTACAACTTATTACCGTGGAGCCATGGGTATCTTGCTGGTTTATGATGTTACTGATGAAGCATCTTTCAATAATATTAGGAATTGGATTTGCAATATTGAACAACCTGCTTCTGACAATGTAAACAAGATACTTGTGGGAAACAAGGCGGATATACCTACCTCCGCAGGTCAAGCTCTTGCTGATGAGTATGGTATCAAGTTCTTTGAAACTAGTGCAAAAACAAACATGAATGTGGAGGAAGTTTTCTTTTCAATAGAAAGAGACATCAAGCAAAGGCTTGCAGACATAAATTCTAGATCCGAGCCTTAAGCTATCAAGATTAACCAACAAGATCCGGCAGCGAATGGTGGTCAAGCTGCAACAAAATTAGCTTGCTGCGGTTAGTGAAAAGGATCAATATCTGCAGTAAGAGGATGCTCTATTGGACCAAATCAACATAAAGACATTGAAAATTTTGTATTAATCTATTAGATGGTTTAAAGTCAATTTCCTTAAAAGAGGTATGACATCAGAACTTTGTGGATAAGTGACATGAGGAGCATTTACTCTGTTAAGTGGAATAAATGTAACACGTCCACCTTTTTGTCGATTAAGATGTTTAATTATCTCAGTTGACTTGTCGTCATTTTCAACAACCACATGAAATAAGTTGTTAAAACAAAGTTAAATTAAGAAATTAAATCATACCTACAAAATTATAAAAACTAATAAAAAGATCAGGCCAGGAACAAATACTAGAGTTGATAAAATGAAAAACTACATGCTATGGATGTGCCAAATCTACCCCATCCTCGTATACAGAATAAAAATACATTATGAATGTGACACGTGGTCAAACATGTTTATTCAAAGAATTACAGGGAGACCTGTTTCCTGCAGTCACTTCAACTACGGTGAAAAAAGTTTCATCACAGTTCAACAACTCAATAATTGGACCATGAACTCCCGAAATGTTATAACTTTTGCAGATCTTCCGAACTAAATTCAACCCTCTTCTAACATCCTGCATATTATAGCAGAGTGTCAAACATGGTGATGTATAATCATGCCAACATACCCCAAGGATAGGTCTATAGAAAAATCATCATAACAGATCATCTCCAAACTGGACAGATAATAATAGTGTACATTTTTATCAAATGCTAAGTAGTCAACATTGCTCAACATTTAGATAAACAAAACACTGAGATCCATAATAGGTTTGACTATTCTCTTGACCCCTCCATGGCATGGTGGGATATTTGTAGCAACGGGTTACCCATTTTAGCATATTTAAAAAATAAAAAGTACTGCAAACACATTATAGAATCACTTTACTTCATTTAGCACTTAAATGTCATATCATTTTTGGAGGTAAAGAGTCTCCGCAGTTTCTTTTGGACTAGAAGTTATTGCATCTATATGATGTAAAGATACTTGTAAAAACACCTAGAGGAAAAGTCAATATCATTTCTTTATTTTTAGAATGACATAAAATTACATCTATGAACAAATGTTTATTTCTTTTAGACAGGGTATGTAGCATGCACAAATCATTGAGATTAAAATTATATGCAATAAACAATACACAAGGGACCTATACATTTTATGCATTGGTACCACATTAAAAGAAGCTTTTAAGATGGGCTATTCACACCAGGAATTGCATTATCAAGACTCTTTTCAGCCTTTTCAACTTCTGCTCGCAGTTTATCAATTTCAGCAGTTAATTCATTTTCTTGGTTCCATAAAGACCTATACTATAATAATATCAATTCATAAGAAATATATCATTGACAATTAAAAGTAAGAAGTAATGTACTTTTTCTCCACATAGTTTTGCTATAATCCATCCTATAATTTCATTGTACGCTAACTTCTATTTTATGATTCTTTTTTCATCCACAAAAATACACAAACATCACAACAAACAACAGGATATACGAACTTCCTCTTGTCATTAAGCATATCTCTCTTTTCTTTATAAATATTAAACCCTTCACGTGACTGGGCAATTTGAGATTCCATAGAAGTAATATTCGATCTATGGTTCTGGACATTCTCATCACAACCATGGATTTCATCCTTAAGCCGTTCAATTTCTTCCATCAGCTTTTTCTCCTGTGGTGCAAAGCAAAAATCAAAAACATGAAAGAAAAATGATAGAAGAGACCAAAATTTCTGTAACAGTACACGACAATGGTAAGGGGTATTGATCAGTTTAACATAACACGCATAGTTGGAGCACAGAAGCCGACCTTCTCATCATCAACCGATAATTTAGCATCACTAAGTTCCCGCTTCTTCAAATCAGCATCAACAACCAAAGAGTCATCATCAACATATGATATCACATCCTCCAGCTCTTGTTTTCTTTTCCTGAGATTAGTGGTTAGATTAGTTTCCAGCCCTGCTTTCCGTGCTTCAATTTGCAAAATTTGAAGTTAAAATGGTGACAATAGCACTTTAAATATTATGAACATCAATATAACTCACTCAAGAACCTCAATGCGGCCAGCCTTGCATGCAAAAAGCTTCTCTTTAAGGTCTTTGATTTCAGGGTTCAAATCTGACAAAATCCTTTTTTCCTCTGGTGTTAAATGATCAATGAGCTCAGTGGCCATCTCAGTTTTTTTTCATAGCAATACTAGCCTTAAGCTGTTCAATCTGATTCTGGACATCAACAAGTGATTTCTCCTACAAGCAATTTTGGAAAGAAAAAAAAAAGATAATCAATTAGCAATTTAGCAGTGAACAATCTCACAAGCAACTACCAATAGAAAGGAAACTTGTGAGTGATAATTGAGTATAATTTGAGAAATTCAATAACACCTTCTTTGCAAGTGCTTTAGAAACTACTTCCTTTACAATATCCAAACATACCCGAGAGTTATTTTCCTTATCCTATTAATCACCCACAAATGTGACTTAATTAACCTAATCACATAACTAAAGCATGGCACTGATCAAGAATTTCAACTGAAAACAAGATTAAACAGCCATCCAACTAAAAAAATACTATAGAATCCGTTTAAATTCATTTTATAACGAGTGAAAGTTGCAATATGCTTACGGATACAAAAGGAGATATAAAGAATCGGAGAAATCAAACTCCAGGGTTGACACTACAAAGCATACCCTGAGACAAAGATCTTGAACTAGTTGAACTAGTTGAATCGATTCCGAGGCAAGAAGTGAGGCGCGCTGATGAAACCGCCGAGTACAACGGAAGCAGCGACTACACGCAACCAAGCTCCGCGACGGACCTGAACGGAGAAAGAACAATGAAAATTAAGATTTTGTTAAATTGTAAGAAATGGAAGAATTGAAGCAAAGATGAGAACTTGCCGGACGGTGACGAGAGAGCGAGTTCTGAGGAGAAACGGTGAGGAGGATTTGGGCTTTGCGATGGTGGATTTGATTAGGAAGAACACTGGTAGTGAGAATGATCGGAAACGAGAAGCCATTGGAGAGAAATTAGCGCCACCTGAATTTTTACAAAGTTAGGGTTAAGAGTTGAATTGGAAGAAACTGAACGCAAAGAAAGTTCGGAGGTTTTACTTTTTTGTCCTTTTTCTTCTTTAACTTAGTATTTAATAATAAATAAATAAATGGTTAAATTAAATTTAAGAAGAAATTGAGGATGTGTGTTTGTTTTTATAAATATCATAATTTTTTTTAATTATTTTATTAAACAAGTATGAGATATTAATTACTATATAAACCTAATCAAATGATAAAAGTCACTTTTCTCTAATTAAGAGAATATAGTTTCAAACTAAATCATGTCACGTAATATAGAGAATACACTACAAGAAAATGTGCATTTTCCCTAGTGATTTAGTGACGTGGGAAACACGTAGGAAAAAAAATGTGTTGCCAAGTGATTACCACGTCACTAACATATTTAATTAATAAATTGTGTAGTTCAAAAATCTGGAACGAAATTTTGGAACTTTAAGAGGGAGGGAAGTTTGAATTTTTTAAAAATTCAGTTGTGACATGAAAATCACGAGGGAACATAATGTTAGAAAATACCCACATGTCTTTCACTTCGCAACACACTCACATTAATTATTTTCTGACCGTTGTTTTGGCTTTTAGTGGGCAACGGTAATAATAAAATAAAGGGGGGAATGTTCCGACCTGAAAGCCACGTCGCAAACTTCCGAAAGTAAAACCACGTCGCAACTTTAAAAGTTACTT